AGGAGTCGCCCCCTGGTGGACACCAGAGAGAATGCAGCTTTAAGACACTTCATCAACAATGAATCGTCTCACTTCTCTTTCAGCAAATTGCGATCGCTCGTGAGGGCGACCTTCTGACCAAAGAGCGTCTGTGCTGTGGTCTGTCGATGTTCGAGGTCATCCTCACACGGGTCAGAGGCTTCCTGGACGACCCCATCTGGCGCGGACCGCTGCCCAGCAACGGAGTGATGCACGTGGACGAGTGCGTGGAGTTCCACCGTCTCTGGAGCGCCATGCAGTTTGTTTACTGCATCCCAGTGGGGGCCCACGAGTTCACAGTGGAGTGAGTGCAGCAGTAAACACACACACACACATCTGCAGAACATGTGATTTAACCCTCTGAGCCCCAAAACCCACCAGCGGGCTGGAAAAGTATGTTTTATTTTAAACAATCGCCAAAACTGCACCGTTCCTCAGAGGAGAGGCTGGAAGTAGAGGATGAAGAAATGTAAATAGTTCAATGAATATAACACGTAGAGCCTCCAGTGTTATTCTGCACTAAAGACATGTTCTAGTTCTCTCTACTACTAGTCATGATGGTTCTGGTTCTATGGAGATGAAGAACTGTAGACCACAGAAAGAGAAAACGCCCTGAAACAGTTTTATCTTCAGAGGGTTTAAGTCTTTACTTGATGCCCCCCCCCCCCCCCCGTCTGTAACCCGCTCCGTGTTCTCAGGCAGTGCTTTGGAGACGGCCTCCACTGGGCCGGCTGCATGATCATCTCTCTGCTGGGGCAGCACAGACGCTTCGACATCCTGGACTTCAGCTACCACCTTCTGAAGGTGCAGAAACACGACGGCAAGGACGAGGTCATCAAGAGCGTGGTGAGTTGGGGTCGAATGATGTCGTATTGCTTTGACCTTTTCAGCCATTTGTTTTAAATTTCATCATAAAATTGAGGACTGTTTTTCTTCAGCCGTCTCATTATTTTTTAAAGTTTATTATAGAAGCTGAGGTCCAACTGAAAAATACTCCATGATCATCTCGCTTTATTTATGCTTCCATTTCCTTTCAGCCTCTGAAGAAGATGGTCGACAGAATCCGCAAATTCCAAATCATCAACAACGAGGTCTTCTCCATCCTCAACAAGTACCTGAAGTCTGGAGACGGAGAGAACATGCCGGTGGAACACGTGCGATGCTTCCAGCCACCGATACACCAGTCGCTCGCCAGCAGCTGAGGCGGTTCCAAACACTGTCGTCATTACCAGTCGACCCATGAGTATTCCTGCTCCAGCAGCACCGGGCCACATTTCTGTCAGGATTATTGTTTATTGTATTCACTTGTGCCTTATCAGATATGAATAGATATTTCCCCCTTTTTGGATGAACTATTCTTTGTTTTATACTTGCAGAGAGCTCTAGACGAGGAGGTGGAATTAGTTTTATTAGAAGTATTTAAGGGTTTGCAGTGGTGGGACCATATTAAAGGTGACGGGAACTTGTTTTAAGTATTTTCTATATAGTCAAACGTGCATGCTCATAATCATTTTAAAGGAAGATGAAAAGTAACAACGCTCGTACTTGTGTTAAGCATTTATTCACTGTGCCTTGTTTTAATCATTTTAATTCAATAAATATGTAACAAATCTGTTGGTTTCATCTCGTTAGCTTCTCATGTAAACGCTACGAAACAAAAGTTCAGAACGACTTCCAACAAAAATTGTTTTTTACTTTCAAGTATCACGAAAACTCAAAATCATAGTGACCGTCAGCAGGACCTGATATAGAATATATATTAAAACCTTTATCGTGTTGATTTATAGAAAGTAAGTCAGTGCATGAAGATGCATGTACATATAACAAAACTTTTCTTTTTAAAAAACAAACTCATATTTACAGCGCTACAGAGGAATTAAGTTCTAGCTGATGACCAGTCTGAGAGAAGTAAGGCAAATCAAAACGTTAGTACAATCCGCTGGTCCGAGTCCTCGGCTGATTGTCTTGTTGAGTCAGTAGGCAGCTGAGAGAAGTCAATGATCCAACGAGGACGTCATGGCCCCGTTCCTCCTGGAGACGCTCTCAAAAGGCAGACCCATTTCGCGGTCCTCCACGTCCTCGCTGGTCAGCAGGTCGTAGTGGGACGCCGTGCCGTTGGCGGCGGGAGACGCCCGCTCGTCCTTCCTCATGGACACGGCGAGCGCCGCCAGGCTGACGCTGACGTCCTTGAAGGCGTGCAGCAGGAAGATGCCCACGATGATGGTGAGGAAGCCGCTCAG